AGATTTGGAAAGATATTTACACTTGAGTATATCTGATTAGCTCGCAGAAGATTGAGTACTTTTATCCGCGAGCAAATTAAAGATTACAGATAAATGCCTCGCTCTGCGATTCAGATGTGGGAAATGTTGCGACACGTCACGATTTAATAACATAATGTTATTATAGGTGTCGCGATAACGCAACTGCGCGGGCCCCGACGCTCTGTTGGAAACGGGTAATCAGTGGTAATGACATCGGTAATTGTGCCAATTGAGATTTATTGCAACTGGTATTTGATGGAATTAGTATTAGTTAAGAAGAAATCCGAATTAATAAATGGGCGTTCGTCGGTTTGTCCTTCTCTCTGGCAACGACGCTCGAGATGTTTTATACACAGATTTTTTAAATACCGGGACAACATAGATGTCTTAAGTTGAAAGTAAACTATGTACAAAGTTTTGAAGAACTTTGAAAACCGGCCAAGTGCGAGGGACCCGCGCACGGAGGGTTCCGTAACATTATTTATTAAAACGGCAAAAAAATCCCACTTAAATATTTGTTAAATCTATTTTTAGTACAGCCTGGGACAAACGGGACAGACAGACAGCGAAGTCTTAGTAATAGGGTCCCATTTTCCCCTTTAGGTACGGAACCTAAAAAGACTAAATTGAACAATGTCTTTTTATATTCACGTCGCCATGTGACGCCATCAAAAGATCGCATCAAAACGCATCTCGAAACAGGCGCCATTTTAAAATGCCGTGTTCCGGCGCGGGGCAATTTCCCGCGCAATTCCCTCGAAACGAGCAATGGCGGCAACCGTTCGACGAAACGTCGGATAAACATCCGCGTACGTTGCCAAACAACGCTAATGAAACAGCCATCGTATTACGCGTTAAACAATAACAGCGAATTTAAACTACTTCGCACACTTTTTATTACGGACTGCTATTGACGATTTACCGAACTAATTTTAGGTAAACACGTGCTGCGTCTGACGTCTTAAACCGGGGACAAATGTAGTTGATGTTAGTTACTGTTTTGACTTTTGAATATATCACAAACATGGCTTTTAGATGCCGACAGTAACATTATCATTGCAGTTAGGATTAAACAGAATAATCGGACAATAAAATAGAGATTGACACGATTTATACCAATACGCGAAGTAGTATAGAATAATAGTAATTGTAATGTTGAATAAAACTTTGCTACTTCCTCATCCAGCTTTCTCTTGCTTAGAAATTAAAATGTTTGTGAATAAAAATAAAATTTTATTCCGGCATTGATGACATGTAAATAGGATTTCGAGAAAAACCTGAAGAGTATGAGAATTGAATATTAATTAAAAAAATCTTTTAGTAATAAGGAAGTATCAAATAATTTTATGTGTACACTCTGTAATATTTATCAAGACATTCATTGAATGTACATCAATTTTTTATAAACTTTTATCTTGTTTTTATCATAAGGAAAGGGAAAGTGGGGAAAAATATGTTGACATCGCGACGGCTCAACGTATTTGAATGCCATTTGGGATGCATCTACCATTATGGTTAAGCATGAATGTTTATCTCGCATTTGTTTAACTATTTCACGTCCCAACAGCACGAGAGTACAAGTTAGAAATACATACTTAGCTGTAACTCAAACTTTAAATTTTATCTAACATTATTGTCTAATCTGTTTCTATAAATGAACAAAGCTGACATACTTTTGTTTGCAGCCAGCCATTCTCATTTAAAAACGGACGGGACGTCTACGAGGCACTCCGGTTTACATTAAATCGCCATTAACCTCTATAAATTCATCGTCACGTTGACAGGCGTTATAATTAATGCCACCATAAATCTCGGCGAGCGCTGCGGACGGTCTCGGATTGGTATCCCGGCCCGTAGATATTGAAGCTTATAGTATTAACATCTATACCCAATGAGCAATGAGTGATGTGATGCATATCATCGTGTTTTCGGTAACAACGGAAAGTAGATTAATCCCTTGGCAGTGTTCGCGTTATCAATACAAGGAAGTCAGTGCTCCTTTTCTGTAGACTACTTTTCAACCGACTCGACAAAAAATGAGGTTCTTAATTCGACGTGTTTGCGCTGGCAACACTGTACACCGGATATGACGTTATCTACTCGAGCCAAGGGACACATGGTCGCATGGAGCAGCGGTCACTTGCATTTCGGCCGCGTTCCCAGACGGTTATATAACCACTAGTGCTGCTTGTCGTTATAATGGTTGATAATATTCACGTTCAGTAATAGTTAAAATATTAGGATGAAGCTAAAATCGTTAGAACTCTTATAGACGGTATGTTTTTTATGTTTGTTACCTCAGAACTTTCGACTGAGTGACCGAATTTGATGATTCTTTTTTTATTTGAAAGCAGGTGCTTTCCTGGGACCCATATTAATTTAATTGGTATTAGATCTTAGGCCCCGGAGATACTTAGGGAATTACTGAAAATCAATTATAAAACGAATACAGAGCAAGATATTTGAAGTCGTTTTTGTGTATCACTAATAAAAATATGGACTTGGATAATACTTAGTGGGTAAAAGTAAAACATCAAAGTACCCTATATATGTCACACTGCTCGGCAAAGGCCTTCTTTACCCAGAGATTATTAGAGCAAATTCCATTGCGAAATACAGATTTCGTAGACTATCGAAATATTATTTTTAATTATTAATTTTAAAATATCACTACTGACAATTTTTAATTAAAACTGCAGTTAATATCATTGGTGCCGGCACAGAGATTTGAGCTCGGGTCGCTTTGTATATTGAATTAAAAGTGAGCGCCCGAACAGTGAGATATGTACAGAATTGAGATAATGTTACACAGGTCATAAATTGACCCATAAATGCTTGTACTACTGCGAGCTGGAGCCATAATTTCAGCAAACGGAACAAAGGCATACCATAGAAACGTTTCGCCGATGACCGTTCTAAACACTACAAGTATCGGAATAACACAGTATTCTTTCTTCATAAGTTCAGAAGCCATTAATCAGATACATCTTGAAGCATGTTTAAGCTTAGTTTAGCTTTGTTCATTTATAGGAAGCACGTGAAACTGTATACCCTCGACTTTTAATAAGACATACCTGTCCTATTACTGTAAGCTAATAGTTTTAAAAAAGAGCAACTGTTGAGTTTCTTGGCGGTTTCTTGTCAACAGAAACTGCTTTACGAACAGGTGGTAACTCACGAACGTATTAATTTTTACGTTCCATAAGAACGCGCAAGCGTCTACGTGAATGAAGATATTTTGAATTAGTTTCAGCGTCTTTGCCCGCCCGGACAAATCCTCGGGCCGCAGTGTACAGTGGGCGCAGATTGGGCGCGGTGTACATCGGCCGTGTGCCCGTAACGAGATACTCGTGAACGACACCGCGCAAGGAAAGCCAACTCCCTAAAGGGGAGCCTGGTACACGTAACTTTCTAGGCGCGGACGTAACCGATACGCCGGTCGGTACCGATGTAACGCATACCGAGTTTCCAACGGACGCCTGTTTTAACACTTGCAAGCGATTCCGTTTTTGCTTCATGGACCTCTGCAACACCCGTATGGTGGCAGATGTTGCCACCTTTAAGTAGAGCGGGTTACTTCACTCACCATACGAAACGCAGGTGGATAACATTTCCGGTTCACGCCGGTCTTTTGTGAGGTCGGGACGAGCCTGCCCATTCGTGCAACAGCAAAGACTGCTGCGTGGCCATGACAGTTATTTAATACCGCTATTTAATTAGTACTCAAACACCATCCTTGTGTTTCATTCTTACGTTATTTGTAGAGACGCCCGGATTGTTTTGGTTTCAAGATAAGACATATTAAAGTTCTCACAGAAATATAGTTTAAGAACAAAAAATCTATTGTGAGGTTCAACAGAAAACTATTTACGAGTAGTAGATATGTGCCAATGCATTAAGGTTAACTAAGAGTTACTATTTTATTACAAGACCACTTAAGTATTCGTGAAAATCTATTCTCGAATATCACAAGATGACCATCTAAATCTTCCAGATCATTATTCCCATTTATCCTATCCAGTCATTTTGATTGGCTCTTCGTTTACATCGCATTAACATTGCAACATATATGCTTGTACGCAAAAACACTTGTCCTAAGCAAACTTGATATTATAAGAATGCCTCTATTTGGATTTGGTCTACTTTAAGGCTTAGAGTTATCGGCGGAGTATATGACGTCATTTATATTGGCAAATCATTGTGAAAATTGTGCACGATCATTTGTATGAACTCTATTGAAAACGCCTTGCAAGAAACGACGGTGATATGTAGAGTAACTGTTGACTATGTCTTGTGGTAAGACTAGCTTCAGATTTACAAATTATAGATAAGTTTATGGTATGTTTTGATAATCAATAAGTAATTGTAATGCTTCTATATTGAATAAAGATATTTGAAATTTAATATACTTGTCCTACAATCTGGTACCACAGAGGAACATAGACGACCACGTGCGGGTTCAACGTGTACTTGTCCTGTATACAACGCGGCGCTACTAACGCGACATTAAATTTGCACACATATAGGATTACTTTTTGAAATTTTATCAAACATTTACTTTCTCTAAACATGAATATTTACCGAGTTATTAAATTTTCCATAACAAATAATTTTAGAACACCCTTAAGTTAAAAGTTTAAAGTATATAACTTTAACGTAAAGTTCATTTGTAAAGGTCACAAAGCATATGAATTGGTTGAATGAATTTAAAAGAGATAAAATATACTGTTAGAAGGAGAAACTTTACGTGTGCGACGTTGTGGCAACGAATGAAAGTCTCTGAATGTACGAATCAGTCAGTTGTAGTTTTATAGGGTGTTACAAATTTGGTTTCTTGTTTGTTTAATTAGTTTGTTTGAGAATTATTTTCTTCTATGATTATTGACAAGTAGCCTTGGAAGTGTGTTCATTTAGTGTCGTCGTTGTAACGTCACGCTGTATATGCTAAGGTGGCAGTGATATGCTTGTGGACCACGTACCTCTCCTCCAGCATTTCGTTGAAGGTCTTGGACTTGCCGCGGGGCTGGCTGGGCTCGCACTCCATCCGTCGCACCTCCACGCACCGCTCGATGATGTGCTCCACGCGCTTCCGCCGCGACGACTTCCAGTTGTCCAGGTTCTAGAACAGAGGCACATATTCAGCACTAGCCGTTAAACGCGGCCTCGCCCGCGCAGTCAAATGGAATTAACAGGGGTTTTTTCATTATACAACAGAATAGCTCGCAGATGGCAGAATTTTTTCCTAATCACTTGACACTTATTGTTATAGTTTCGATAATTTACATAATATCTTTATTAATTATAACCTAGGCGTTATTATGATGTATTAGTTATTATATGTTATTATATAAATTAGTTATGTTATTATATAAATGTAGTTACATTAAAATCCATTCTTAGTAGTTTTTGTGTGAAAGACTAACAAACATACATCCATGCATACAAACTTTCGCCTTTATAATATTAGTAAGATAAAGCAATGCTAAAGATAAAGAAAAGAAAAAAACCGCCCAAGTGCAAGTCGGACTCGCGCACGAAGGGTTCCGTACCGTTATCTATAAAAACGCCCAAAAAATCATGTCATTTAATTCTGTATTTTAGTATTTTTTATTATAGCGGCAACAGAAATTCATAATCTGTGAAAATTTCAACTGTTTAACTATCACGGTTCATGAGATACAGACTGGTTACAGACGGAAGACAGCGGAGTCTCAGTAATAGGGTCCCGTTTTACCCTTAAAAGTGTGTGTAGTTATTGAAGGATTCCTAAAAAGGCTCGAATGCCATATAGGTCCTGTAAGATGACTTAGTTACAGATGCTGGACGTGTAAATGGCAGGATGTTTGATTCAGAACCTTTTTAATACGGTGTTGCTTATATTTTCACATAATCGTCACACAGTTATCCACGTGACGTATTACTAAAAGTTATCTTACATTTAATATTGTATATTTGCTTCCGAACTGCAGATACTGGAAACTTGACGAATTTAACGTTTACATAATTCGAGATCCAATTTTACTTTGCAAACGTTTCTCATCTAACGGTTGAAGTGCCGCGTGCAAATTGCCAAACAATTAATTTACTCGACCACCGTCTATTAAGCAATCGAGCCTACAGCCTCTTTTTGCACAACCTTCGTTCGTTTCCACACTTTGACAGCTTAATGACATCAAAGCTGAGGCGATTTTTTCGCATTCGTGAAACAATAATACCAATTGTTACCGTTAAAATGCCAGCAAGTGTGGCAATGCGTTGTGCAAGCTGTGAGTCGACTGAAAAACGTCTACTTCCATCTGACTATCGTCCGCAAGTCCACTGCGCGTTGTACCGTTTATGCATCAACCTGCGATACAAGTAACAAACGTGCGGTCGAAGCCGCTACAGTCTAAGTTCGGTTTTTAAAGTAAAATAAGGATAATTAAAATAAATTAAAAAAAATTAATCATTGAAGAAAATAACTGTCATTCAAAATTCGTAAAATTAAATTACAGATTAAGGCAAGGTAATCAGACAACATCCTATTGTCTTGCCTTAAATTGTAAAGATTTTGATTTGGATATTTTTAAGTCATATCTATAATCCGAAAAAAATTTTTGTTCACGACAAGATAATTAAAGCATTTAAATTTGTGTCAGAAGCTTCTTTTTGTAACTTGGACCATACAATTCAATACAAAAAAGCTATTCGGCTCGCAGTATGACCGGCTGAGGAAATTAAGGGAAAAACTGGGCTGTACACTCTCAAAAAGAAACGCCGTTGCAAGACTGTCCCCTTCGAGCTCTCTAGCGGAACACTGTTTTATAAATTAGGTTTTCGTTTTGAATGCATAACGTTTCAAAACAAAAACCTCAGCCAGCTACAACTAACCAAGCACGAACATTGAACTGACGAGGTTTTCATCTGCAGCCGAGTTAGAATTAACTTCCAAGTGCAGACATCGAATTGCCAAGGTAATAATATCAAGTAACACTTTTTAACTATCTGCGTGCTTTTGCTGAAAAACTTCAACTTTCAGGAGAAACGATGGAAAGTGAATTGTTTTTCTTATATTATTACTACCGGCATGCGAGTAACACCGACACGCGAGACTAGAGCCGCTGTAAATTAGCAGTAACATTATTTTATGTAACAAATAGTACGCTCGTCCGATAGACAAATCAAAAGGTACATTGTTATTGCTGCATAATAATTATATAAGCATTAAATACTTAAACTCGGCCCAACTAATTATTGACGAGTTTTTAGTGCGCTGAACATTAAAAAAATTGACAATGTGTATAACAGGAAAAACAGTATGTTCACCACACAATATTTTACCAGTAGTGGGGATCGAACCCACACCCTCTGGCGTAAGAGGCAGGTTACTACTCCCCACGCCAATCGGGTCGTCATAAAGATGTTTGCATTGTAATTTGAGCAAGCCCGTTCCGCGCGTGAAGGGCAATCTAATATACGGTGGTAGGGCCACGCAGCAGGCTGTTGCACGAATGGGCAGGCTCGTCCGGGTAAGTCACGACCTCACAGAAGACCGGCGTAAAGTGGAAGTATAATACTTTCGTGTTTCGTCTGGTGAGTGAGGTGGCCGGAGCCCAATTTTCAAAAAGTTATCAACGCATCTGGAACCCTCGGGTATAACAGATGTCCATGGGCGGCGGTATTCACTTAACATCAGGTGAACCGTCTGCTCGCTTGGCAACTAATCACATAAAAAAAATACGCAATATACCAAATGAAAATACTGTTTATACAAGTAACGTACATTTCGCAATTTTTATTTTTTTATTGTAATACGCTCAGTAAATTCTGTCCGATTCTTCTTCGGGCTGATTACAGATCCGTTGTGACTTCTTTGCGATGGATTCTTGCAGCAGAAAAAAATAATTCGAGAGATTACCCATTCCGTGCAAGCGAACAATTTATACCTTTTTGTAAGATTTAAGTAATGTAACAGAGTTTATATCAATTTTGGCCCCCTCTGTATGTACACAGGGTGACGCGACCCCGCTTTGGACTACACATATCTTCGAAGCATTTTTATTAATATTATTTCTAGGAAAACATGCAGGTTTCCTCACGAAGTTTTCCTTCATCGCTGAGCACGTGATAAGTCAGCACTTAAAATTAATAATTTCATCGGTGTTCCGCAGCGCGCGTCGAACTTAGGTTGCTCGAGCTGAGCTATCACGGCTTTACATTACATTACACCTTATTATATGCTTTTATGTACATAGTAACATTACGTAACCATATCGCGAAGTTCGCAATCCATCGTCGCCCGCACTAGGCGTGTCGCAACAGTTGCCCAACGCATTTTAATATCCGCCGCGTTATGTTCGATGTTTATCTCCTAACATTGCGTTGCGTGCGCGACGGCGATCTCTTATCGAATGCAATAATTGAGAGCTCTCGTAATGTTTGCATTAAAACGCTTCCGGTGACGGAGTCGAGTTCCACTTGCACTGGATTTGTTAATGAGGAAGGTGTGTTAAAAAGTAATAAAGAAAAAGCACGCGTGTACTTATGTACGCACGTAAGACGTTGTAGGTTCTTCTTTAGTTTAACTAAAGAAAGATAATTGAAAATTTCAACCAATGTGCCAGTACTTATTGTTTTTGAAAAACACACAATGCAATTGATAACGGTTCGATTAAATAACTAGGAATCACTACATAGTATAAAACGAAGTCGTCCCGCTGTCTGTCTGTCCCTATGTACGCTTAGATCTTCAAAACTACGCAACGGTTCTTGTTGCGTTTTTTTTTACTACTTACATATTAAAGTGGATGTGATTACAGAGGGAGGTTTATATGTACAATACATTGCACCCGGGCGAACCCGGGGCGGATGGCTAATTTTGTTGCCACGGTCGTTTCGCAACCATCTTCATGGTATTACCATGGCGGTTTTCGGCTTGTTGTTTTTCACCCACCAGACAAAACGTAAAAGTGTAACACTTCCACTTGACGCCGGTCTTCTGTGAGGTCGTGGTACTTACCCGGACGAGCCTGCCCATCCGTGAAACAGCGAGGACTGCTGCTTGGCCCTAACAGAGTAAGATTGGATTATATTCGAAATTGTTTGTATGCTGGAAAGGATATAACAATAGATGCGCCAAGCATTGCTTCAAATGCCTAAATAACAATGTAGAAAGAAGGCGTTAAGATTTTCGTCGCTGTGGCTATCAGCCGTTTAGCTCAGTGGCTAGAGCGTCAGGCCGCGAATGCCGAAGACGTGGGTTCAATTCCCACAGCGGCGACAATCTTTTCGTACTTTTTCTACATGTTTTAAGATTGGATACGTTAAATAACCTCGAAATATATTTCAAGTTATGTCCAGGTAACATCGCAAAGTTTTTCTCCACCGCCGAGATCGTGCATACATTGCACCGGCATCGAGATTCGAACGCGTAAGCTCGAGAACGACAACGTCAGAACACTGAACTACCACGGGTGTTATCCTTAATCCTTTTAATTATAAAGGCGATAGTTTGTATGTATGGATCGATGTTAGTTACTCTTTCACGCAAATACTACTGAATGGATTTTAATGAAACTTTACAATAATATAGCTTATACGTCAGAATAACACATAGGCTATAATTTATATACATATTTTTATGTATATCTGTCTTTCTGTCAGAATGTTACGCGTTCAGCCTATTCTACGCAGAGGTAGTCATCAACAGAATTTATGAGGAAACAAAACACTAGCGCATCGCATTCATTTGTCTCTGTCCGTACATATATGTTCATCTTGCAAAATTATTTGTGCTCATTATCGCATACAATCAGTACCTAAATCGTGATCGCTTTTAAAAAGTCATTTTACTGCGGATTTCGGAACCGATACGAATTCGCCACCCGAAGAATATTCATTTCAAAAAGTTCTGAATGGCCTTTCCAGCATTTTCGATTTGCTGACCTACAGGCGTATGTATACGCGACCTTGGAGGCCACTTGCGCGCTTGTCCCCTAAGCAACATTTCAACCAAGTAAATTAAGGCATTTAACAATTCAAAACGTTGTTTAAACACTCTTCGCGAGATCAGCATTATCACGACTTGCAAACAATTCACCGGAGCCAGTTAACAAAACGTCCGTTTTGCTTATAAAGTAC